CGAGGCCAGCCTGGGCTACCAAGTGAGTCCCAGGAAAGGCGCAAAGCTACACAGAGAAACCCTGTCTCGAAAAACCAAAAAAAAAAAAAAATTTTAAGAAGAAAAACAATAAAAAGAATAGCAAAAGCCTGAAGAGATGGCTCAGCAGTTTCGGGCACTTAACTCAGTTTCACCCATGTCAAGTGACTCAGAACCACCTGTCGCTCAGTGACGCCCTCTTCTGGACTCCATGGTTACCCACACTCATTTGCACATACACAGAAATACACAAAAAATTCAAAGTAACATTTTCAGCCAGGTGGTGATGGTGCACACCTTTAGTCCCAGCACTCGGGAGGCAGAAGCAGGTAGATCTGAGGCCAGCCTGGTCTACAGAGATAAACACTGTTCCAAGCCACCCAACCCCCCCTCAGAGAAATAGTTTCCCTCTGGATTAAACAAACAATATTTTTTATGTCAATTTCTTACTATTCTTCAATAGACACTAACTATGGGTGGCTGATAATCAAGGATTCAATCCTTCTTCCCAGAGTAGAAGAAAATAGGCCATCCATAGACACTTTAAAAAATAAAAGGGTCCCCAAAAAATAAAAAGTAAAAAGGGTCACAGTCTACTGCATGAGTCCTCAAAGAAACATATGCTGCATTTACTTCTAACAGGTAACAGACATGCAGACTAACATAGAATTAATTAAATGACCCCTACCCCAGCCTATTTTGTATCCTAACAAGGATGAAACTTAGGGACCACAATTAGTTCTACATATAGTCTGCTACACACACACACACACACACACACACACACACACACACACACACACACACACACCTACCATTTAAGAGCCATTTACAACAAGACCACATTAGTCTAGACAAAGCTCCAGGACAGCTAGGGCTGTTATACAGAGAAACCCTGTCTGGGGTGGGGAGAGTCAAGTAACCCAGGCTAGACTCAAACTCACTATGTAGGTGAGGCTGCCCCTGAATGCCTAATCCTTCTGCTTCTGCCTCCAAAGTGCTAGGATTACAGGTGTGCATCACCACAACCCAATGACATTCTCTCTTGAACTATCTAATGTCTGAAACGGACACACACAAAACAGGCAATAGACGGATTTAAAGTCATTGATAGTCCAGTCTATAATAGGTCATGGGTGAGTAGATCAGATGAAGAAAAAGATGGTTTACTACACCTACACACCATCCCCCGCTTGATTTGTCCAGGCCTCTCATGAAATGAGTTACACTCATTTCACAGAGCCTACCACACTTTGCTGACTCTGTGGTCAATTTCTAGTAAGCACTTCTTATTTGATGAATAATGTTCATGCCCTTTCTGTGTGCACACAGGAAACAGAAACCTCAAGGTGGTCAGTAAAACCAGCGAGCAAGGTGATGGCTGTCTCTCTCAGTGCCAGCATTTCCAATACACACAACAGGCGGCAGCAAGTGAGATGGGAATCTGCCACAGCTCAGCATGCTGGAGGGCCAAAACTTTATTCGCAAACACAAAGCTCTGATTATACTTAAGTCCCTATACAGTAAACATACAGAACGATTCTATAGAGCGGTGGTTTCACTGCTTATTATTTCCTCCACAATTAAAAGGCTTGCTTACATTAATAAGATTGCTGTACAGCATTTTAAATCTTAAACCTGCAAGCAATTTGCTAGGCTAAGGCTAGCCCTAGCCTTGAACTTGTAGTGAGACCATGGGCTTTTAAATGAACTCTTCCGAATACCGTAACTAAGCTGCAAACAGATCCCGAGCTAACAACCAAATCAGGTTACTGCTGAACTCTCAGCATGCAATCTGTATCAGCATGCAATCTCTGCGATGCCGATTCCTTAAAATCTATGGCAGCCAAAACAACAACAACAACAACAACAACTAAGGAAGCCACAGTGAACACTTCACATTGAGCAATTACAGTGTAGCTGTAAGGTCTCTCCATGCATGTAAAGTTGAATTCAAACCTCTAAGGACATTCACCTTCCCCCCCTTGGGGGGGGGGGGAATATCAGATTTTACAATAGTATTTTCTGTGTGTTTAAAAACAACAAAAAAAATCACAATGAGTCATAGCCATCAACTTCTCTACCACGGAGCTGACGTCCACCGGGGGCAAAGCCACAGATGCAGGTGGCAGTCAGGGGGCTGGAGAGAAGGAATTACTCAACGCTTTGCATATAAAGTTTTCCTTCCGTGCAAGACTTGTGTAAGACGCTGAAAATAAAGGATGCTAATGTGGACCTAGCAGGAGGCAGGGAGGAAGAGAGAGACTTTGGCCGAGTGAAAAATTCATGTACCCACTGACAACCTGGGAAAATCCACTGCACTGCCAATTTCACCCTCAGGTGACAGAAAAACGCCATATGAAATGGAAAAAGATAATATCATTTAATCAACAGCTGATTACCTTGGAAACTTTGGACTTCTTTTCCCTCTGGGGCCTCTTGTTTTCTTTTGTAACCTAAAATTTAAAAAAAAGTAAAATTGAAATATGAGCCTCCATTAAAAAATATATATATCAGCTCCCACCCTTTCCCCCCCCAAAAAAACTATTTTTGCCACTTCTCTGTAAAAACTGCTTATATATCATTTAATACCATCAACATATTAGCCAGTCAGTCCCTGAAGAGCTCATGTAAAATGTATACTTTCAAAGTCACTGGAAAGAAAAACAACCAACAACCTTGCATAAATAAAGATGGAGGGAAATGCCCCCTTTCCCCCTAAAAGTCTTTCTTAATTAGCCTCTGCATTCTTCACGGCGAAGCCCACGAGGTAGCCATCTTGCCTGCTTCTGCAGAGGAAGCCTCCACAGAGAGCAGTTCTGCAAACTGCTTTTGGTATCATTATCATGGTGTTTAAAGGCAGCCCTGGCCTGCCAGCACTGTAGACGTGCTGGGCATGCCTTTTGCAAAAAACAGCCCCACAAAGAGTGCAGCCAATGGCAAGGCAGAGCTTAGAGACTCCAAAGTGATCTTCGCAGCCTAGCACTATCCTAGACAAAGGATCTCCTGTGAGGCTGGGCTCTCACCACAGGACACAGGCAGCCACAAGCTGCGACATGGAGTTCTCTGCAGAGGATCTGGTCACCGCCACCGAAATCACAGGAGGCTTCAGCAAGAGACAATGTTCGCAAATCCCCCAGGTCGCCACCATCAGATCGATGGCGGAGTCTCCCTGAGCAGGAACCTCTGGGTGGCACCAGGACAGGTTGGCGCAGGGAGGGGCGCGCTGCTCTCTACCACCCGGCAGGAGATAGCCTAAGGGGGCATCGGGGCTCACAGCAACCCTGGAAGGTATTGTGCATTTTGACTTTATAAGGCAAGACTAAATATTGGCGATATCGAAGGCAGGGAGGTTAAGTGAGGACAGGGCAGGCTCAGCTGTTCGGCTGCTTGTCTCATTCCTGGGAACCACACCTCGGTGCAGCCGGGAGCTTGGCCCAGAAACAACGGTTTGATTTCTGTCAATAAATGTCCAACGACCAAGTCGGAGTACGGGGGGGGGGGGGGGGGGGGGGGGAGCAGCCACTTAGAAGAGAAACAGGACAGGATGTGGACAGGAGAGGGGGTGGCGGTGTATTTTCAAAATACACTTGTCACACTCTCTCGGTGACTACAGAGATGGAAGACTTGTATGTAAGCCGGGTGACCTTCAGTGTCCAAGGAAATCCGCGGCAGACTCCAACCGGAACCTTTGGGGGGGGGGGAAGGGGGCGTTTCTGGCTCCTCTCCTCCCAAGATCAATTGCAACCAAGCGTCCCTTCTCAGCCGCCAACTAGGTTCCCAGGTGGAGCCTGCCTGCACACCATACTAATAGTCAACCACCCACTTCCCCAGATGCTGAACCTGAGCCAGCGGGGAACACGCCACCAACTCCCTCACCCCTCTGCGAGACACACACACACACACACACACACACACACACACACACACACACACACACACACACACGGACTGCACCCATGCTCGGTGGGTGGTAGCCATTGGAAGCTGGCACCACGCGACACCTGCCAGACACCAGGAAAGGCAGGACCGAGAGCTGTCCCCCTTCGGTTAGCTCCCTTGCGCTAGTGGCAGGGGACCAGAGTGGCTGTGGCAAGCTGGGCTGATCCCAAGGTCACTGCCAAAAAAGCTGTACAGGGGACAGATCTCCCTCACATCCCAGCCACCTTGACAGCTGCACAGATCTTGGGAAGCAAGCCCAAGCTCCTGCCTCCTGGGGCCAAAGTTTCTCCAGTACATTTGCGGGATTGGCAGGATGGGATGGCTTGCCTACCTCCGGGGCCAAAAATGGGTTTTCCACTTGCAGTTGGATTCGGAACAGATTCCCACAAGCAGAGAAACTCGGAACTGAGTGAGGGCCGGAAGGCCTGCGTTTCATCACCCTCCCCTTGGAGGCGCCGAGGCTGCCACGAAAGCGCGTTTTCCTTGTTTTCCCATTTATTTAGTTATCTATTTATTACTCCTGTGGCTTGAACCCAGGGATTCAGGCATGCTAAACAAATGCTCTACGAATGAGCTATACATACTCCCCTGTTCCCAGATTCCCCACTTTACATCATTCCCCCCAAAACTGCCCTGCCATCCACATATTTTTTTTTTTTTAACTAATTCACAGATGGGGAGAAAAAAAAAAAAACCTATTGAAGCTAGACATGGTGAAAACACTTTCGACTAACTCTACCACTCTGGAGGCCGAGACGGGAGCTTCAGCTAGGGTGAGACCCTGTCTTCAAATAAACAACCATGCAACAACAACAAAAACATGTCCATGCCTACAATCGAAGCATCCAGGGGAAACTGAGGCAGGAGCACTACCAAGAGTTCAAGGTCAGCCTGGGACACATAGCAAAATACCAGGTCAGCCATAGCTGTATATAGCATGATTCTATCTCAAAAAAAAAAAAAAAAGAAAAGAAAAAAGGGAAACGGAGAAGCAGGAAGAAAGGTGTACACTCTACTCAACCTAGTACGTGTATGCTGTTCAGTTCTTTTATTAAACCAAAAACAGAGGGATTCTGACCTAACCATAACTCCAGTGCAACCACACAGCAAGCTCACACTGAGAACCTCTGAGGCACGGGATGTAGTGGCACACACCTATCATCAATCCCAGGCAGATGTCTGTGACTTCAAGGCCAGCCTCGTCTCCATAGTGAGTTCCAGGACAGCCAGAGCTACTTAGTGAGTGAGACCTTCTTTGGGGGGTGGGGGGCGGGGGCTCCGTGAGAAGTCAAAGCAGCCAGGAAGCAGATGAAAATACACAGGTCACATACAGCCAGGTTGGAGAATTGGTGGACAGCACTTACTCATCATTTGGTTGAACCTGGAAGGACACCACAGATCCCTTTTCCTTTACATTACCAAGCATTTATTTGCACGCGTGTGTTTGGGTGGGTACACACTCCATAGCACTGAGTTCAAAGGATTAGTGTTGGAGTTCATTGACGCCTTTCACTATTAGTGGTCCCAGAGATGAAATTTAGGTCAGGCTCGACAGCCTTTCTTTGACCCTACAAATCACCTCAAGGGGCCTATGTTTTCTCAAGGAACTGCCAGAGCATTCTGCCATCAGCTACACCACTGTGCAATCCCATCAGCCAGTCAGCCCCTCTCTTACTGGAGTGCCATGCCTTTCTCCCAGGGCTGTTACCTCCTCCCTTTGCACATATGAATGACTTGTAGAAAGCAGTATCTTTCCCATTGAGTGCTCAGTATTTAGTACAGTCATCACGACACATTATTATGGTTATATATTTCAAACGAATGTATTAACTGTGATATCCCATGAGTAGGTATGCTAGATGCGGTCCTTGTGAACCCACACAACGCTGCACTTGGTGAGTTAAGAGAAAGTGGAAGCATGCAGTGTTCTGAAAAATTAGATAATAAAGGCAAAGCTTGTCTGAGTCAAATAGGTAGTTTATGAAAGTGCCCCGAGCTATATGGACTCCCAGTATCAAACCACTGGAGTAGGATGGGGGTCCACAGAGGCTCAGAGTTAGGGTGTCTATTCCCATAGCAATCTGTTCCAGTGCCTACACCTTGAAGATCTGACAGTTCACTTCAGAGCTTAGATAACAGTGAGTTTTAATAGGATAAATCAGAAATTAAGAAGGCATTCAAGAGAATCGTTTAGGGAACGAAGAGCTGACTGAGTGTTTAACAGTGTATGCTGTCAGTGAAACATTTCACTATTAGGATAAGAATTTGTACTGTATCAAGCTGGCAATAAAATAAATAAATGTTTCAACAGTGTCTGTCCACAAAAAAAAAAAAAAAAAAGAATGTATGCTGTTCTTTGCAGGATGTGGGTACAGTTCCCAGCACCCATACCAGGTGGATCACAGTCTCTTAACTCCAACTCTCTAACTCTTGGAATCCAATGACCTCTACACTCACCTGAACACATACACACAGGCATGCATACAGGCATGCATCATTAACCAGTCAGTTGGTGGTGGCATATGCCTTTAATCCCAGCAACAGGGAGCTGGATCTCTCTGAGTTCGAGGCCAGACTGGTCTACAGAGCAAGTTCCAGGACAGCCAGGGCTGTGACAAGAGAAAGTGTCTCCAAAAACCAAAAGGAAAAAAAAAAAAAAAAAAAAAAAAGAATCATTTAACCCTGAGAACCGTTCTAGTATGGGAAGATGGGTCCGCGGTTAAAGGCACTTTCTGCCAAGCCAGATGACACAGAGACAAATCCCTCTTGACATCTACATTAATGCCACGGCACATTCACATACATACATTTTGTATACAATAAGTGAATATCAAATAAAGATTTCAGAGAACCATGCCATATCAAGTGGATGCTGTAGAAAGGTAAAGGTGTGATGAGTCCTACATTTATTTGCTTTAGCAGCCAGGTGTGGCGGCACACCCTTGTGGTTCCAGCCCTTGGGAAGTAAGGCAGGGCCAGAAGGAGAAAACCCAGAACCTCCGTTAGTCACTAAAACTCACTGTTCCCATGGAAGTCAGGTGTGGTAAAATATATAATAAATTAGGGGTCAGTGAGATGGCCACACACCACCCAGCCTGAGAATCCCAGTTAGCTAGGACCTACCTGGTAGAAAAGAACCCACTCCCACAAGTTGTTCTCTGACCTGACCCACGCAAGCATCACGAACACGTCCACACATGCACACGTAGTAAAGGCAGTAGATAGAGCACAGCTCAGTCAATGTGGGATTGTGTTTGTTCACTTAGCGTGGTTCTAGGAAGACCTCCATGGGCCTGTCTACATCCTCGCAAGTTATCGACCACTGCGCGTCAGCCCCAGTCTCCTTCCTTTTATGATCTCACTGAGCTTCAGCTTGGTCCAAACTCACTAAGTAGACTGTTCTTTTTGACGTTCATTCCAGAAAGTGTGCTGAAACACTGATACGTGCCCAACACCTTGGCAATCTTTGAAATGGTAGATTTTTGGTAACGTATAATTCAGGTAAAGAATTGCA